GTGGACCGCCAATCCTGGGGGGGTTACTCTCTGCCCATACTCCAGGTATTTTCTGTTGCAGCTCTTGGAGTAATGGGGCATCTGGGACCGGATTGTTGCTCTCGGTTCCTTCAGCGAGGCGATATTCCTTGCTCAAGGGGCAAGTCAAAAGTATAGTCCCCGGTCTCTGATTAAAAGTCACTGTAGCCGTTTCCTCTTGGAAGGAGATGGTAGCCTGCAGTTTGCTGAGAAGGTCCCCTCCCAGTAGCAGGTACGGGCACTCCAGCATCACTAAGAATGAGTGGGTCACTGTCCTGGCCCCCAGGTTGGTAATTTGGGCCTGGGTCCATGGGTAAGATTTAGTCTTCCCCGTGGCTCCCTGAATGGGGGTTCATTCTTTGGACACCGGGCCCTCCGCCTGCTGGAGGACGGAGTAAGTAGCTCCAATGTCTATAAGGAAGTCCACGGGTTTGCCCCCAACTTTTAAGGTGACCCTAGGCTCCTGGGGGCTAATAGAAATGGAGCCCCGTCCCCGTCAGTCTACTTCTTTGACTAGTACCGGGGTTGGGCGTTGCTGAGGCTTTTTTGGACAGTCTTTCTTCCAATGACCCTTTTCCTTGCAGTACGCACACTGGTCCTTCCCTAAATCAGAGCATCTTGGGTGCCTGTCCTCTTTCCCGAACTTCCTTCCCTTTCTCTGATTCCCGTCTCTTTCCTCTTGCATGGCAGTTACCAGGACCTTTGCCATTTTCCGAGTCTGCACAGTCTCTGAATCGCGATGCTTCTTCAGGCCTTTTGAACAACCTCAACCAATTCTGACAGCACTTTTCCCTCAAAGCCTTCTAACTTTAATATTTTCTTTCTAATGTCTGGGGCCGACTGGGACATGAAAGCGATGTTAACTGCCTGCCGATTCTCAGGCGTATCAGGATCTATGGGTGTGTAGAGCCTGTAGGCTTCACACAGGCGCTCTAGAAAAGCGGCAGGAGATTCATTCGGTCCCTGTACAGTTTCAGTTACCTTAGACAAATTGGTGGGTTTCCGCTCAGCCGCTCGGATTCTCCTCAGCAGAGTCTGGCGATACTGATCGAGAGCCTCTTTACCTCGCTCCATGTTGGGGTCCCACGAGGGGCGGGAGAGTGGGAAGATAGCCTCGAGCTGTGCTGACTCTGAAGAGGGTTGGCCGTCAGGGCCAAGAACCAATTTCCTTCCCTCAAACCTGACTCGCTCTCTCTCCTCTGAGGTGAAAAGAGTCTGGAGGAGCTGGTGGGTGAAAAAGACAGACTCCAAGAGGGAGATTAATCCCTGCAGATTCTGAGAGAAAGAGGGATTCTGATTCTTCCAGTTGTAGAGGTCACTGGTCAAAAAAGGGATGTAAACCATAAAAGGCTGTTCCTTCCCGTTGGGGGCGGCCACCTGGCGCAAAGGCAACATCGGGGCTCCAGAGGAGTCCGGAGAGGGGGCTGGATGTGGGGGTCGGTACTCTGCCCCACTGCGGATATGAGATGGACTCAGAGGATCCTCGGGGAGCCGCCATCGGGGCTGACAGATACGGGGGTGGCTCTGCCAGGATGGGGTCCTCCGGCGGAGGTGGGAGACCAAGGGGCTTCCTCTCAGCCTCCCTGGGAGGTGAAGTGAGGAGGACAGTCTGTCTCTGTCCCAATTTCTTCTTCTTTTCTGAGTGTTTTTGGCAATCCTGAAGCCATTTAGGATTATCAGTTAAGACATCTATCCAAATTTTAATATACACCATTTAGTCCGGGTGCCCGGGGTTTCCAAAAATTATAGCCTGGACCTGATAGGCTAAACCCAAATCGGTCGACCCCTCAGGAGGCCACTCGATCTGCGTGAACATTGGCCATTCACGCTCACAGAATTTCTGTAAATCAAAAGCATTACAGGGGCTCTGTAGCCCTCGGCTCTTCGCTTGAAGTCCTGAAAATTTTTCAAAAAACATTTAAAGGGGGTACAGGTAGTACATGAAGCTGATTGACCCATTCTGACAACAAAAAACAAATTGGATGCAACAAGACGCAGACAAGACAAATAACAACTAGACTCAGGATCACCGGGCACCATCGTGCACCAGGATCTGGTCTCAATGGAAGTAGTGCTGCGTCCAGCCTTCCGGAGACCTCTGACGGGCCCACAGAACCAGAATCAGGACTCAAAAGAATTGAGTCTTCTTACCGGTAAGAATCAGATCCAGATGGCTCCAACTGAAGTCAATTAGACAATTTTTGGACAGACCTGCCAAACTCTATCGGTCCCGGGGCTGAGGAACATCTCTCAGAGATCTCCCCCTAGGTCCGGGAGTTTGGATGTCTTTCCTGGACTCTGGTCACGGGACCGGTCAATGGCCAGTTATCTCGCTGGGGGCCTCCAAATGTTGTGGAGCGCGAGTGTCAGAATGACCAGAACTCCAGACTGATTAAGATTTAGAGAGCCTTTATTGACTGGCCAGCGTCTGCTCCTCCACTGGGGAAGCCCAAGGGAGAAGCAGCCCCGACCATATGCAGAGTCCAATATTTAAAGGGGACAACTACATCTGTATTCAGGTTCCCATAGCAAGCAAAGCCAAGTTATAAAAGCTAATTGCGTAGTTTTAGCCAAGCTAATCATCATCCTCCTGTTATTCATTTCTGGGTAACTTAAAGGTAAGGACTATTCTTACTTTTGATCTGTTTGTTCTTTGTGGGTCTGCTGCTCAGGAGTGTTGATCTGTTTGTTAATTAAGCAGGCCTAAAAATTTTCCTACTCTGTAACAATGAGAAGGAATGTAGTTTATAGCCAGCAGGTAAGGACACACAAGGGGAGGTGAATGTCACTTCTCCCAAAGCAGCTGTTCCCAAACAAAGGATAGGATTTGTTTAGTGGAGGGGAAAAAAAAAAAAAAAAGGCCACATGCTAACCTGACTAGCTCAGGGAAGGCCTGCAAGGCAGTTTGGCAAACTCAAAGACCTAAAGAAACTGTTGTAATGTACCCCGTGAAGGACGCCTCAAGAAGTCGAATTAAGGAGCCACATTTATTTCAAAGCTGGGACTACGAGGGGGCAAATGCTCTCCAAATATCATAGTGCCCCCTTGGCAGAAACATCAGACTTATATAGGCAAATATCACAAAGGTATTGATTACATCTCGAGGTTTGGAATGAGGAACCTGGTTTGCAAAAAGCAGTTTGTTACAGAAGCTAAATTGAGCAAGTTAGTTATCTACAAAGATTAATTATAGTTTCAGGTTTTGGGACCACTGAGTCAACGGAAACACATTATCTGGAGCCATTGAAGCAATTTAAAGTAATTATGCTGTCCTAGTCAGGTCTTGGGACCACTGAGTCAATGGAAAACATTTTCTGGAGCCACTGAAGCAATTAGAGCAATTGTGCTGTCCTGGTCTCCAGGTGCAGAGGAATGTGTTTTGATAGACCAGTAAAACCACAATCAGTGGGGTGATTTATATGTTTCCAGGTCTCAATCTGGAAACTGAGGTAACTACCCTATTGTTTAAGCAAGCAGGTGTGTACAGAAGCCAGCAAACAGCAGTTTGTTTTTTACCCGAGATGAATGTTGCTATGCTTCATTGCTTCAAAACCACAAATGATGGTCTGAAATTAAAAATTTAACTAAAAGCAGTTTATAGTGGGTAGTCATGTCCTAGGCCAGTATTTTCCCTAACAAAGATCAACTTCAATCTTTACTGAGCCTAATGTCTTTTTGCATTTAAGATAACATACCTGTGGAATGTCAGGGTAACTTGTAACTTCCCTTTTCCTGGATCCCTCAGGGCACAACAAATGGCACTAAGACAGAGACCACAAATTCCCTTATTGTTATTGTTATGCTGTTAATTGTCGACTGTTAACTATCCTATACCCACCTATGTAAAAGAAGCATGTGTCCATCATTGCACTTTTTATCCAATCCCAGGGGTACCCCCTTTGCTTTCTCCCACCTCCCTAATCTATCACCAATGGATTTCATGTAACCCACTTACATCTCCTCCTTTGATTTTGATATATAAAACAAGGTAAAGGGCCGCCATTTTCTGGAGCATTATCCCAATCCATTGAGATTCTGCTTCTGGGCAACTGCCAGTTTGGCTCAAATAAACTCACAAAAATTCTTTATAGGTTTGAATGTTTTTATATTAACAGTTTTTATTCAGGAAAGTCATGCATAAACATTGAGAAGAGCTTCCTCATTGCAGGTATAGGTGGGGATATTCCTGCTCATATACAGTTAGAAAACATGTCTATACATACATCACATATTCATTCCAAAATGGCAGACAATTTCTACCTCTAGGAGGACATTTTAGTATTACAGTGAGGGTATAATGAGAAAAGTTCATGAAGAGGTCAGTACAGAGTCCTCCAGGCCACTTTGGCCAGCCTTGGGTGGTTTCAGCCAGATCAACCCCCTGGTTCTGCAAATCATCCTGAGCTTGTCCCTGAAAAGACAGTTCTGGCAATCGTCAATGTCAGGGATGGTATAGGTATGGAAGGAAGTTTAACCAATTAAGTCCCTTCTGTTAAACTCTTAGCAAATTACAGGATGTGGTTACACAAACCTTATAAAACCTAGGGTGTTCTAAGTGGGTTTACAGGTTAATCTAAGCAAAGTTATGAATTCTAAATAAAAGTTAGTCTATGCTAGGCTGCCTGCATATATAGGCAATTTACAGCATCTATTTAGGTTAGGTTACAGCATCTCTAGTGCATCTACACATGGAGGCTAGGGGTGTTGGAGAGGAGTTGTTATTTGGGAGGGTCTGCCTGCTCAGTCTACTCTGAAATCACAGATGATGTAGAGTTGAAGAGGTCCCTGCCTCTAGTGTTTACTCATGTGAGGCTAAGTCATGTACCTAGAAATAAGGCTTAGGGAAGCAAAAAAGGCTCTTTCATGATAATGTTTATTAATAAAATTATTTATGTAATACTTTGATTTATACAAAATCAAGCAAATATATTACTTACAACACAGAAAACTAAAGAGGATGCACAAGACATGCTTTTTCAACAGATCCAGGGACACTAAGGTCCTGCCGGTGTGAATTTCGAATTAGGCTCTTGCAGGCCAGGCAGCAATCTCTCCTTCACTGATGATGCATTTCAGGAGGAAGCAGGGCAGGAAGCTGAGAAAAATCAGCAGGCACTGTGTGCTTAGTCTAGTCGAGTATGAGGTGAGAAATTCCTTCAGGTCTGGGAAAAAAAACACCAGAAAATGTAAGACACTCTGTTGCAGACTTGTTTTAAGGGACTGAAACAGGCTTTTGCACATGCTCTGATAAAGGTCTTTCCCTGCTTTGGCCTCCTAACTAGGCTTTGCCTGCATTAGGGCTGGATGGGAGTAAACCCAGAGCCCATAGCACGGGCTCACCAAAGGTCACCGCATCGCAGAAGGAAGTCAGCCTTTGGGGGCACAGCTCAAGGAATATGTGCTTGCCTTTAGCTTTTTTATTCCTTTTGCTGAAGCCAAAACAATGGGATTTTTGTGGAACCTGGGATTTGTTGAAGAATTCACTGATTGTCATTAAGGCAACAAATAAGTGACCCTGCACCCCCTCTCATTTAGCACATGAGCTGACCAAGGTGATCTTTCAGAGTTCCAAACCAAGTCATTTACCAATCAGGGGCAAATATATCTGATTTAAAATATAGCGCAATAAAATAGCTTGCATCTATCTGGTACAAGGAAGGTCCAACTTTCTCCCATAGTCTTAACACTATTTTTTTTTTAACTAGGGACAATTTAGTAAACAGAAGGAAAGTGCCCACCCCTAAAAAAATGGCAAAATACCACAGGGAAGTAACAACAATAAACAGCTCCACAGCATTGTGGCACCACACCCCACAGTGCTAACCTCTCCTGCTGTCACAATGTGGATCCTTGACAGCAGACCTCACTGAGCTCTAAGGGCCCATGAGTCTGGCTTTCTGTATGGCTGAGCCTCCAGCCCAGGGGTGCTGAGTAGAAATAACTGTCAATCTCCCCTAGTCTGGGGTACTGTCTTGGTTAAAGTCCCTAGTGGTGAGTGATTACCATGTAAAGCTGGTAAGCCCCACAGGTATGGTCACAGGTAAGGATGCCAACTCCACCAAAGCATTCTCACAAGCAAATCAGGGGCTGATGTGGGGTTGGTTGGGCAGGGCAGCACATAGCTAAGGAAGGGCCCCACTACAGGAACTTCTCCCTGGGCTAGCCAGCCCCCCGACCACCTGCTGCTCCTGGAATAGGGCTGCCCAGCCCCACACTCTATGATGCCTCTAGGAGATGCCCTGGACGTGAGAACCTGTGGTGAGCATGAGACAGTAGAATGAACAAGTAATAACAAAGACAAGCCACCATAGAAGGGTCCCACTCTGTACTTGCTCACAGGTGAGCCACTGTGGGCAGTCTAGGAGGCCAGACTCAAGATGAGACCAAAGTTCGGCCCACTCCAAACCTAGGCGCCTTCCCCATACCACCTCCCCTTGTGAGAGTGATGTTCCAGGGTACTAGACCCCACAAAACAGGAACCCTAACATGTAGGCCCAGCGGAGGCTCCAGAAGAGCTGTTGAAAGATAGGGGCTCACAAAATAAGAAGCTATTCAGGTAAGAAAAGGGTCAGCAAGTACTGAACTTGAGAGCTGATTTTCCCCTGAGAAAAGGAAACAGACTGCCCACAAAGAAGGATTCAGACCCCACCAATTGTCTTTTCTTGTATATAAACTCGAAGGTCATTTTTTTAGTCAGCTTTGTGAATTAGGTTAGACTGAGTCAGCCCCTCAAGCAGGAGTCCTGAAACTGAGGCTGTGAGCACCATATAGTATCCCTCCAAGGGAGCACAAGGTTACCCTTTGAGCTAAGAGAGAAAATATTAGAACTTCCACTACATATTTATAGGAAAAGCATTACTAATGTTTACTGTGTATATTAGAATCTAGGAAATCAGTGGTTCTAAGCCCACCATTATTTTATGTCATGCCAAACACACACACACACACACATACACACACACACACACAACTCTGCTACTGATGAATGATTTATTATAAGCTACTAGAGGCCCGGTGCATGAATTCATGCACCAGTGGGGTCCCTCGGCCTAGCCTGCAGGAATCAGGCCAAAACTGGATCTCCAACATCCCCTGAGGGGTCCCGGATTGCGACAGGGCACAGGCCAAGCCAAGGGACCCTGCCGGTGCACGATCGTGGCTGGGGAAGGACACTGGAGGTTGGCCAGCCAGGGAGGGACCGTGGCAGGTCTCACTCAGTCCCAATCAGTAAGACCCTAGCAGCAAACTAACCTACTGGTTGAAGCACCTGCCCCCTGGTGGTCAGTGCACATCATAGCAAGCAGTTGAGCAGCCTTAGCATATCATTAGCATATTACGCTTTGATTGGCTGAACGGCCGACTGGACACTTAGCATATTAGACTTTTATTATATAGGATGATTTTTATTATACACTTATTGAATGGCCTTTTTTAGACTTTAGTCAGACATACCAGATTTTTATCATGTATACTAGCCTGCACATACATGAAAAGGAAGCTATAAAGGAAATCAAGTTTGTGCATGCTCAGCATGGCAGCTGTGTCATCACTACTTAATGGGAAAATGGCTCAAATATTTTTACTGGTGGAATGGGAGATTTAAAAAAAAAAGTTTGGCCAGCACCCTGGATGAGAATAACATCATGCTTCAATGTGAGGTACAGAACCAGAATTCCCAAAACACTCCTATTTGCAGATACTCACAGATGCCCTTGGGAGGCAAATGGCTTCCTCTCCTATTGTGCAACCCAGAGAGCTCACCCATTGGACCAACACCTATCATGGGAGAATATTCCAGGAGGGCTTAACAAAGGGTCTGCTCTCTCCCAGGCAGCACACCATGGTCTCACTGCTGGTTGGGGCCAAGACCTGCGCAAGCCATCTTCCCCAGAGGTCACAGCCACACAGACTGCAGCCACACAGGCCACAGCCCCTCAACACCCACAGTCCCACAGGCTGGCTCTGTCCCACAGATGTTTATTTGCTTGTTGGTAGGTTGGTTGATTGTTTTATGTCAGAAATGTATTTTTAAAAACTGAGTTTGAAGTGAGAAGTGAAACTTGACCTGACCACAATCTGACATTTGCATTTTCTGTTTGTCTTTGAAGGCTTTTGAGTTTCCTACTTTACTTTGTCATTATTTAGAGCATTAAACTAGTTCTTGATACTAATGAAATATACTAATGAAATTCTTTGGGGCTATGTGTAAAAAGAACCACCCTCTGTATAAAGAGATCTTGGGCTGGCTCAAGGACTAAGTAAAAGCCCCTATTAGTGGAAAGCTTACCTTTTTTAACCCTAATTAACTTAATGCCCACCAAGTATTAGAGGGTGTTGTTCATTTCACATTTCAATAAATTTACAATTAATGCTAGATTATGAAGTAATTCTAACCTCAATGTATTGATTAAAATACTTTGGTGAGGAGAAACCAAGATGGCGGCATAGGTAAACACTGGAAATTGCTGCCTCGAACAACCACTTCAAAAATACAACTAAAAGACAAAACAAACACCATCCAGAACAAGAGGAAGGCTGGCTGCGTGGAAATTCTACAACTAAAAGGAAAGAGAAAAGCACACTGAGACTCAGAGGAGGTGCGGAAGTAAAGTGCAGAGGTACGGAGGCGCACGCAGAAAGGGCTGGCAACTGAGGACATTGTCTTTTTCAATCGGGAGGGAGTCTCAAGCTCCTGACTGCTCTGAACTCCAATTCCAGGCGAGACTCTGGGGACCCAGACTCATACGGGGAGAAACTGGACTGTCTGGCATCAGTCGGAACTCGAGGGCGGCTTTCTCTCAGAGGTGCTTGCAGCGATTACCGGGACACTGAGATGCAGGGCCTCTTAGGGTAGGACTGAGGAGCAGCCATAGCTGCTTGCTCCACCCTGTTGATCCCGAGACCCCACCCTACCCAAGCTGTGCACAGAGGCATTTGCATATGAAAGGCCTGGCCCTTGGCAATCTGAAAATTACCTAACAAACTGCAGCTGTCAGAGAGACCCACAACTTCCAAAAGAAGGCCCAAGGCCCCACAGCAGCTTGCATTGCTTCACAGCTGGGCCTCATCTAGGCACCTCCAAACCCCAAACAAAGAAGAAGAATCTGCAGATCTCTCCATAG